CCCAGGGAGCGGCTTGGGGTATCCGTCAAGCCCTGGAGGGAGCAGCAGAAGAGACACAACAGCTCGAGCTGAGGGTGCCTTGGCTGCTCCCTGAAACCTGCTCCCCCTCACACTGGGGGTCCCTCCACAATGGGGGTTTATACACCAACCCTCAGGACGTCAGGAACAGCCCCAGGAGCTGCTTGGGGTATCCGTCAAGCCCTGGAGGGAGCAGCAGAAGAGACACAACAGCCTGAGCTGGGGGTGCCTTGGCTGCTCCCCCAAACCTGCTCCCCCTCACACTGGGGGTCCCTCCACAATGGGGGTTTATACACCAACCCTCAGGACGTCAGGAACAGCCCCAGGAGCTGCCCGAGGCTTGGCTGCTCCCCCAAACCTGCTCCCCCTCACACTGGGGGTCCCTCCACAATGGGGGTTTATAAACCAACCTCTAGGACCTCAGGAACAGCCCCAGGAGCTGCCTGGGGAGAGCTGCAGTGAGGGGACAGCTCGAGCTGGAGGTGCCTTGGCTGCTCCCCCAACCTGCCTTCCCAAGCACTGGGGGTCCCCCCACAGTGGGGGTGTATAAACTATCCCCCCTAGGACGTCAGGAACAGCCCCAGGAGCTGCCTGAGTTGGGGGGAACAGCAGCAGCAGCAGTGACACAACAGCCTGAGCTGGAGCTGCCTTGGCTGCCCCCCCCAAACCTGCTCCCTCTCACACTGGGGATCAATCATTTTTATCAAGTTTGGGATAAAAATGAGTTCCTTCCCTGTTCCCTCTCCCAGGACACACAGCCAAGCTACAAATACAGAAAGAAATTGTTTATTCAGTGTTCCAAACTCAGCAATGCGACCCAAGGCACTGATACCCACCCTAGTGCCAGCAGTGCCAGCAGCTCTGGCACTGCTGTGCTGGGCAAAGCTTGTCCTGTGAGGAGCTGCCCCAGGGAGATTTGGGGAGCTGCTCCAGGGAGATGTGAGGAAATGTCTAGGAGACATCTGGAGAGTGTCCTGAGGAGATTTGGGCAGCTGTCCCAGCACCAGCCTGATGAGTTTGGGCTTTGGGGACAGGTCATTCCCTAACAGGCACCACTCCAACAACATCACTCTATCCAGAGGGAAGGGTTGTAATGTAACTTTGATGATTTATACTCTCATGAGTCAAGGAGACAGACCAAGAAGATGAAGCTGCTCTAACCAGGGCAGCACGAGGCTTCTGTGGTGTCACCAGTGACCTTTTCCCCACCCACAGCCAACATCCACACCAGGCTGGTCCTGCTCCACACCAACAGAGGGCCAGGTAGGACAAAACCAAGCTTATATTTCAGATGTTTGGTTTCTTTGTGGTTGGATTTTCTCAAAAACTGAAGCAAGTCTGTGCTCTGCACTCTCCCTGTGCTGCTGGGGGCAGCTTTGCCCAGGGACTCTGCACCCAGGTTTGCTTCAGCTGCTTCAGGTTTTGCTGCTGAACACAACAGCAAAGGTGCAGCTGGTCAGGAACCAGTTTAACTCTGTATTTGGTTACAGCTTTCCGTTTAAGATGAGCTTTAGCAGCTCTGTTTGTAGGCAAATAGGTGCTCCAAGCATCAAAGCATGTCAAAAGGGTCAACCTTTGAGCTAGCCAGAGCATGAACTAAGCTAAGTCAATAATCAGAGCAATCAATAAGGTACTTGGGAAGGAATAAAATGAAAGAAATCCTTAGAGTGATTGGACTTGATGATCTGAAAGGTCTTTTCCAACTCAAATGAGTCTAAGATCAGCTGCTTCCCATCACCCAGGTCTCCTCTAATCCTCCCCACCACAGAGCCTGAGCAGGACTTTCCTGTAGTCTCCTGAGCAGTCTCCCTAGAGAGAGCAGGAAAAGGCACAGAGTTAATTCTACAGCTGGATTCTCTGGATTTGGTATAACCAAGAGCATTCAGGAATGTTTTCAGCACATCAAGCCTCCCTAATTCCTCCTCCTCTGAAAACACCACGAGGTGCTGAGTGTCTCCTGTGCCTCTCACACCACAGAGCTTACCTTGATGAAGGAGTGGAGTGATTTGCCATACATGGCCAGGAATTCCCTCCTGATGTAAATCATGTCTATCTCTGAGCGGGACACCATCACCCGGATCAGGGTGTTGTCATCTGTTCCCAGGCCCTGAGGAAATAAACCCACCAGCTCCAGGGCACAGCAGTTTGGCCAGATCAGTCCCAGACACAAAGCTCTGGCCCATCTGTGGGATCTGTTCCCAGTCAGAGCATTTTGCACTGATTTGCCAGCTCTGAGCTTCAGAAGGGAAAACAGATCCATAGAAAAGCTCAGACTTCTTTTTTTTCCCCCCCCAGGTAACACAGTTTGCTGTCATGTTACTGACTCAAGCATGGAAGGCAGAGGGAAAACCAGCAATCTCACAGCAAAAGCTCTTTACCTTCATGGATTTATACAACCTCTCAGCAAAATAGGCAGGTTTGTTCCTCATGCACTTCACTGCAAGGGAGACAAGAACAAGAGCATTAAGGCCAAGAGACACTGAAGGTCTTGCTAACCTTTCCAGCACTTTCTTGGTGCAGATGTCTATTCTCAGCAGGCAGAGTGCAGGCACTGCCAGCGACCTGCTGTCAGCTGGTGTCTCCATGCCCAGCAATAAAAGGCTCTGGAGCTTCCTGACAGCAAATGTCAACTCCCAGTGCATCCCCTGGGACAGCAAACAGCAGAAAGCACAGAGCTTTCTCACCAGGTTCTATCTGCAAAGATTCTAACAGTGTGGCATGTCAGAGAGACAGGCAGTGTCCTCCTCCCAGAGCTCTGCCAACAGCCAGGGCAAGAGACAGTGTTTCAATTATTGGATCAATTTGTGGGCAGAGCTGAAAGCAGAGAACTCACCCACAGCCAAGAGAGCATCCTCCAGGTCTCCTGACATCTCAGATTTGATGCTGTCTGTGATGTCCTTATTAGCAATCCCTCTGTACACATCAAAAACTAGGAGGAAGAGATGGGATGAAAAGAACCAATGTGTCAGGCACTGAGGATCACTTTGCAAGATCAAACTCCTCTCACTCTGTACCACTCTGGTGACACTGTAAGCTAAGTCAGGGCTGCCCCTCAGAAATAACTCATCTTCATTATCAACTGCCTTGCTAATTGGCTGCCAGGGTTAATGAACTGCTAGTTAATGAAGGCAGTTTCCATGCTTAGCTCTGTCCCATGAGGGTCACATGTCATTATCTCTGATTTATAGGCCAGAGCAGGTTGTAGGGATGTTTCTCTCAACTCCCTTTTCATCTCAGGAGGGAACAAAATGGTCTAAAAGAACCTTTAGACCTAAAGGAATCGAGTGGCACTGGCCCTGAGGATCTGTTGTATCAGGGAAGGGCCACAATCTCCTAATGAATAAGCTCCTAAAAATTATTGCCCCCAGACAGGTAGAGCCATCCAGGACAGTGAGGAGGTCTTACCTCTCAGCAGGTGACATCTGTTCCGTGTGCAGAGGATGGACATGAACTGCACCTCATCTGTTCCCCATTTCTTCTCCCCAGCTTCATACAGGCACTGGGAGACACAAACAGACAAAGTCATTGGGAAGATCAGGTGTACACCATGAGAATTTTAATGCATGGAATCACTTGGCTTGGAAAAATCATCAAGTCCAACTGCTCCTTCAGCACTGCCAAGGCCACCACTAACTCATGTCCCCAAGTGTCACAGCCACGTGGCTGTTACATCCCCCCAGTGACTCCAGCACTGCCCTGGGCAGCTGTGCCAGGGCAGGACAACCTTTCAGGGAAGGAATCATAGAATGACAGAACTATCAAGGCTGGAGGAGACTTCTCAGATCATCAAGTTTAACCATTAACCTCTCACTGCTGGAACCCCTAAACCATATTCTCCAGCACCAGATCCAGACACCTCTTAAACACCCCCAGGGATGGTGACTCCATCACCTCCC